TTAATTTAGGTATCATTAACATTCAGTGGCCTAAGTTCAAATAAACTAAAATTATCATATTGCAATTTTATAGTCTTAAAAAACAGTTCCTATATTTTACATAAATAGTGTCACAAAGTTATCAAAATAAATGTAATGAAATGCATATAGGAGTAAATAACCATTATAAAAGATATTTCAACTGTAAGGCTTAAACATGCACCAATAAATGTTATGCTTCCCCAGTGTGACCGTCTTTACTTCTCATTTACAATTAGTTTGGCAGATTAAAAGACCTGAGAAAATGGCTTTCAAAAACTGAAAGAATGAACCAAATCCATTTTTCTTGATAAAGAAAACAAGGGAAGATTGCTTTTTTTCAGAAACCACAGACTGACTGATTATTTAAAACTGTCTACCGGTTTAAATGCTCGGGTTAATAGCAGCTCTGAAAGAGTAATTTTCAAACGAAAGATTAGAACGATTATCCATTCATTTAACAGGTTTATAAAATAGCTTCTATTTACCTGTTGCTGTTTCTTCCCCAGTATTGTACAATTTACAGTCTTGATGAATAGTTTTTTCCATGTTATAGACTAGTTAAGTTTTTAAAAATTATTCAACTTATTTTTTCTAAATACACTTTCTTATTTCACATCTAAAGCTTACAAGAACTTACATCATGCTGTTTTTATTTATAATAAATAAAACATATATATATATATTAAAATAAAATATGGTGGGGGAAACTTCATTTGCTTTATTCACTTGCACTGTATTATCATCTCAAAATACATAAGGCAACATCCTATACTACTGTCTGCATGTCTATTCTTTTTTTTCTTTGCAAAAAAGTGAACTGGCAGTTTTCATATCTACAAAAAATAAGTTGGGCTCTTGAATGTATAATTTTATGCATGTTTTTGCAATGTTTATCAATTATGCATTGTTTTTCATCTGAACACTGTCAGAAGATAAGACTGCACATTCACACATCTTTCACTGACCAAAACATTTATAGAATCAAGATAACCTTTATAAATACATCTAAAGAAATATAGCCAACATAAGGAGCTCTTCAATCCAATGACAAAACCCTTAAAATTCATTATGCAGAATCTCACATTCTTAGGAAAAAAAATCATTATCTCTACATGTGGAAACTTGCAGATGTATGCTGGTAACAATAACCTCTTTTTTTGGTCAAAGATTCCTTTCAAAAGCTCTCATCCAATTAAGAAATTTGCTATAACACCTAAGATTTGCATGCTGGCTAGCCTCCACTTTCCATACTATTCCACAATGAGATCTATAAGCCTCCATTTAATTATAAAAAATATATATAATAATATAACACCGTAGTTGAAGATCCCTAATTAACTACCATAAATAACACAAGCCATTCAATGCTGCCAATAACCAAGCTTAATATGTTCCCTCAACATATTAGGAAACCCATTAGATTACATTTCAACAGGACATGAAAAAAAATCAGATGACATTAAATTTGTAACAAAAAAAGAAAAAAAAAATCCTACTAACATTTATGCATAGCTGCAGAATATTGCAAGATGAAGAGTAAATATGCATGCATGTACATGTGCACAGATACACACAAAGACATTATTACCTTTGGCAGATAAAAGAGAGTACAACATCCACACTTCATGAACAATCTTTATTTCACAAGCACCATGATATAGAAACAGAAAACATTATGCATTATGACTATTGTATTATCATTGTCACTATTATTTTCATTATTTCTATTAACATCTTATTTTCACACGAGAATATTTACAAATCATGAACAACAAGAGACCAAAACACGGGACCTGTGAAGTTCAATTTACTCTTTATGAAATACGTATTAATTATAAATAAAGGAATAATATGCTTTGGTTTCCTTGATTCCTGGAGTTGGGTTGACCTTTTCAGCTGCCTGTAAACAATATCTATTGCATCTGTTTGTGCATGTGCATGTGTGAGTGTCAGAGATGAAACACTGAGAGATATAAGAAAGATGAGAGAGAATGTGTGTGTGTATCAGTATGTGTGTGTATGTGACTGTGATAATGCATGTGTGACTGTGTATGACACCTTGACTTTGTCTGGGACTGTTTATGTTTTTATTGATATTTTTGTTTTACTTTGTTTATCTTGGTTTGTGATAACAAGAATGAAAGTCTTCTAATGTGTGTTTGTGAATGTGTTTCATGTATTTAAGCACATATGGACCCACTTTTCCCTCATAATCATCACCTCAAAAAAGGAATATATACACAGTATATATATATGTAACTGCAACTTTCTGTACTAAAATATAATTATTTAATATAAAAACATATACACAGTATACACGACAAATCTAAGACATAAAAATAGACAAATTGTCCTTCCTGTCTTCAATGGATTATCATTGCACATTTCATAACTATTTTTATCACTTTCATTTTTATTGTATTTTGGTCCAAGATGAAAATACCTTTAACTGTGCCACAAAAAAGACTCAAACAATGGGACAAAAGACTGTTAAGAAAAGATTACAAAAAATCCAAGAAAAAAGTTATTTACTACATCTGTTATTTCAACATGCCTTAAATTCCTTATCACTATTCATATTCTGTAAATTTAATCTTATGTTTCTGTTCACTAAGACAAATAAATTGTCTTATGATGGGCACCAAATATTTTCTGTGGTTGTTTTCTCTTCCCTTTCTTTTCAGTTGATACTGACAATAAGAAAATGCTACTGGAAATGTACATAAAAAATCAAAGTCACGTAAAATGTAACTTGTGTTCACAGTAAATTGAAGTAATTAAAATTTTTCTCTAAGACACCTTATGTAATAATGTAAGGGGACCACTGGTTCTTCCTCTAGCACTTTTCAGTGGATTAAACCCAATTTCAAAGAGCTTTGGCACATGTACAGGGGACTAAGAGAGATAAATATTGGTACCTCATGATTGTAAATCGGTCGATTAGTTTTATAATTAGATAAACAGCAGGCTGAACAAAATACTGCTTTTTTGAAACGTTCCGTTCTACAAAGTCACCCATACTGCCTATTTTGGAGTATAAAAATTAAACGTAGATTGAAGACCCTTATACAAACTTTAAATCCATGTATGAACAATTCCTGTACAAACAATACTCATGAACCCTCTCACTCTCAAAATTCATTTGCTTGTATTTCAAGAAAACTGCCTGTGAAGTTCTTTAGACATTCAAATAGGGGGAGTAAAAGCAAATGCTGGATATATATATACTTTCATGTAAATATGACTAGTATGTAAACATTTTATAAACAACCAATAGTAACATAGCAAATAAAGGTTAAGAAGTCACTGTTGCCATATGTACCCATAAGACGGAACTGGCATTTCAGCACACCTGCTCTCTAGCAAGACCCTAATGCAAATGCCTGTTAGGTGAATGAAGGTATTGCCAGAAAGCAGTTGCAAAATACTAGCATCGAAAAAAATAATAATTAGTTGCAAGACAGCCATGTCGCCAATGATGCTTTCATGTACAGTAATTAGCCGACTCACAAAAGTATGAAAGACGGTAAAAAAACAACTGATTTCTAATTGCTAATAGTAATTTCCTGGCCTACTGCTCTTATGGGTACAACTAATTTTCCCCAAACTTTGATTTTCCACAGGGAGAAAAAAAATAAAAATAAAAAATAAATAAATAAATCGAGCCAATAATTTTTGGACATTCACATACAAACAGTAAGTATGGCTTTGTATATGATGACTTGCATTCGAGAGATGCAAAAATACCAAGAAATACTTAATCAAATCTTCAGAGTTAGATAAGGCTACTCTCATTTTCCGAATTTGTTGGGAAGAAAAACAAAGCTAAGTTAACACTATATCCAAAACGACTTTTTTTAAATTGACAAACGTGACCCCTCTTACTCAAGAGCTTTTATGTCAAAAGAACTTCATGTGCAAAACTGCAAAATCCATCAAAAATGTTAATGGATTCTGTCATTAAGTGGCACCTATACCAAATTCTGCTCTTCGTACAATGTTGCTTTAAACATTATTCAAACAACCTATTACACATTACCTATGGTAATTTTTACTGCAGACATTACCAAGTCCTGAGTTTATATACAAAAACAAGAATGTATTTTTGGCACCCATCTGAGGTGATTCTTTAATTTACTTTCATATCTTTATCAACAGTAAAAGGTAGAGACTTATTACTGACTTGTGAACAGATTCTCAAGGAGGAGGAAGAGATACTAGTTATTTCCAAAGACTCAAGATGTGCAAAAACATCCGTAATGGTATATATGCCATACAAAAAGAACACCAAAAATTCCGAAAGCGACATGAGATATTCAACCACACATATACCACTGAAAAATCTAACCACAATTATGAATCAGTCATCCAGGTGCTATCGAATTTCCTGTGCTTCCAACCCCGCACGAGTCAAGATTTGTCTGGGGTTGAGCATGTGTGGAAGGTACAAATTGAAGATAATAATTCTGCATCATCATTATCATCATTTGACATTCCTAGGAACCACTTTTAACAACACAGTAACAACAATACAGTAGATGTACACTGCATTAAAAAAAGAAGAAAAAAAAAAGGATTTTACCTGACACCTTTTCAAGACTGGTATTGATTTAAATTCTGCCACGTCTTTTGTTCAAAATTACTTGGAAGCTTCCCCACAACTGTAATATTGAAATAAAAATTATGAAAGTATGCAAACTACCTATATGTTACATATTTCAATTACCAAATAAAATATATTCAAAAACAAGTAACCTTCATAAAACTGAAGTTAAATGTATTAAATATCCATTACCATATGCAACATCAATATTTATTCTACACTTTTTTTTGTTTTTTTTCAATATGAAAAAAAATATTCTCTACAGAGAACATCAAATGTGCTTCATGGTTTTATACTTTGCTGTCAATGGAATGTTTGTCAAGAAGAGACCAATAGAGTAAGTGAAACTATGCAAAAAAGAACATCTTCCAAAATGCTCTTTAACCATATCCAAAGAGCAATTGTTTGTTAGAGATGAAGTAAATAGATTAATGCATGTATACAAGACATCTGCATCTACCATCCACACACATGCATACTTTCTTGAACATTACTTTCCAATTTCTAAAATAAAGATTTCCACTGGTGTTCTAGTGTTATTTTCACAAAGGAACCCATTCAAAACTGATGTTAATTTAATGATTATCCTATCCTAAGCCCTACCAACATACACATAGGCAAACACACACCTGCTCACTCAGTTACATTCACATACACAAGGCATGCATTTTGCACACACACACACAGGCACCCACAAAATAATAATAACAAAAATGAAAAAGAGTAATAATGTTATAATTCATTCTCTGAGCATATCCATGTATCCCCCAAGATTCATTGCGCTATGAAAAAAAAAACTTTACAACTACCCACCTTGCTGAACAGGTTCAAAAATCAGTATGAAGTAACATACATTGATAATTTTTGCTCATAAAACTGAGAGCTGAATCTCAATTAATGCTTGACATGCTGAAAAAAATTATCTACAACCTTGGGATGATTTAAAATGCATTCATAAACTGAATCCCTTTCAGGACCATATCAGTGTTCATTCCCATTCTGAATTTGAATTTTAACTGGTGCTTTAAATGTTCCTATGAAATCAATATAGATATACTGAAACATTTTTTTATGTCATGATCTTTAAAGGAAAAACAAAATTATCTCTTCCCTTTCAATCCACTAAAGCCTAAACGTGTTTGAATAAAAACAATAAAATGGCCTAGAATAACAATCTCTCTTGTTAGAGCTTAAAAAAGATCCCCTGCTGTGTATACCATCCCTCCCTATACTTAGCTAAAGAATATCATGTCTGACAGACAAACAATTCATTCATTCATTCATTCACTCAATCATCACAAGATGAAAAAAAGACTAGTTGCATACATGCATATTGTAATTAGGAAAACTGGTCTCCCTTTAACAAAAATGAGCAAAATATGACACCTGAATGATAGCAGGCAACCACAAAGCTAAAGAATACCTAACATTACATCAACATTAGTGCAAATAGAGGCGGGAGGGGTGGTAAAGGCCCCCTCACGCTAAGTGCAGGACTGGACAGACTCGTTGCTAAGTGCCACTTGTACATGGACACATGATGAGGTTCGCATCTGCTCCGAAGATTTGTTTGTTTTTTCCTTTTTCTCTTATTTTTCATATATACATTTGTTTTCATTTGGTTTCTTCCCACTACCAAAAGGACTGATGAAAGAATGACTTGAGACTTTAATGCCGTCACAAAGCAGAAGCCTTATCTTTTCTGACTCATTGGCTTCCCTTCCACTTATTGCTGGACTTCATCCAGATGGACTCTCATCATATGTCCCTGAAGAGAAGGCTATAACAGTGACAAAAACAACATCTCCCACGACTCAAGCTGGGCCGTGTTTTGGCTCAGCTAAAATGGCAAATAGGAAATTTTGAGAACAGACTAGAGCTTTCTTTCTTCCTTGTTATTTGTTTCTATTCCTTTTTTTTAATCTTTCATTTGCTTCCTCTTTCTCTCTTTGAGCTTGGACTGAACTTACTCGGAGTGATCAGTTCTCAGGATCAGGACCATTCCCGTCACCTTCATAAATGCTTGCTTCCTGAGGTTTTACATTTAAATATAAATAAAGCAACCATTAAAGCTTAGGAATGAGCTTTGGAAACTTCCAACATGTCCGAAACACCCCAAAAGCTCTCAAATTCACCTTTCACAGAATGTTTCTGTCTTTTATAAGACTTTACAGCAGCCATATTATAAACCCTGTGAAGACAAGAAAGAAACCTATCTTCTCTTTGTAAGAGCTAATTACCATGATAAAAATAATCTTCTAAGGCTCAGAGCACTATAGAGCAACATATTGTAATTTCAATCTAGCATTTTTTTTGTTCATTTTTTGTTTTTTGTCTTGCAAACACATCTACACATTTGTTAGGAAAATATTTTCCTTTATATAAAACAAACACTCATCATTATTGAAGCATTCATGCCTGGATGAATAAAAAATAAACTATATCAACAGTCCCATACCATTATACCATCATAAGTAACTAAATGTACTACCCTATAATTGTACATATGCACCTGAAGCTGCTCGAGTATTTATGAACAACATTTGCCAATTACTTTACTGTTTTTTGCCTTTTACGAAGCGTGATTACGAGGTAGGCCAGCTGAAGTTCTGTCCAACCATTTCATAAAACTGCTCGTTGAAAGGAGCAAAGAACTTGCGTAATTTAGACATCAGAGCTGGATCAACAAAGGGATGACTCCTCCCTTTTGAGTCAGCTAAGCACTTCTGAAAAGTCTCATTACGCATGCAGTAAAAGCCCTTTGTTTCATTGAAGTAAAAATTCTCCGCTGTGATGTGGAGAGGAAGCCTCAGGAACCGTTGTACCTGCAAACAAGAGATAGTGTAAGTAAAATATATCAATCATGATACACAATCTTTTTCTGCCTTTCTCTAAGTAAGTTCAGTAATGATTCTGTAAAGTATTTAATCCATATTCATTGATATAGATGCCATAGATTCCTATAAAAACTAAGATATTCCTCATAAAACACCAATAATTTAACCATAGACATTTGACATGTACTTTTCAGATATGTGACATCTTTTCGTGCAATAAAATAAACCAGCATTTATTTTCTTTCTTTTGTCAAGGATGCATTTCAGAAAAGTGCCAAAAGGGTCATTTATAGTTGCAGTTTCCATGTTCTAGGAATGGGCTGAAATTCAATAGAAACTACTACAAATTACTAAAGTTAGTATTCTTAGGACTTTCAACATGTTAATTCTTGACTTTAACCCACTGGATCTGGATGATCCGTTCATGAAAAATTTAGCTGAGGGCTGGGTGACAAGAATATGCCATCATTGAAAAATCTGGCTGAATGCCAAGGAATGAGTTGTCATGAATGCAAAAGCTCTAAAGCGGGTACAATGTAACATCCATGAGCTATGGCTGCAATAGCGCTGGCTACTGGGAGGACACTATTTCCATGCTCAGGATCCTATTCCTGCCCGTAACAGGGTGTGTTCAAGAAAATTGAATAATACAAAACTATTTTAAAGATAACACAAACAACACACTGTTACATATTGTGACTGGCATTGCAGAGTTGTAGACTACCTTCAGAGATTATATGCAGTATGCTTAAAAAAAAACATTCTATTTCCATCTTAGTGTCTGTATATATCAATAAGCTTAGACTTTACTTCTGCAAAAATCTTGGGTTATGATCAAAGCTGAACTCAACATTTATACACAAACAGTGTGTCTTCATCTGGATTTGCCACATGCTTTTGTTTCTATAATACAGAATTTTTAAACTCATTCTATTATTACTCATAAAAGAAAGAAAAAGAAACAAAATGTTTTGTATCTTTGAAAAGAAAATTCTAACACTGACAAAAAGACATCCACACAAAATATCCACAGGTATGCACACATACATGTTTGCAATAAATGAATAATTTTCAAATATATATATATATATATATATATATATATTATATATATATATATATATATATATATATATATATATATATATATATATATATTATATATATATACATATATATATATAAATATAAATGTATATACATATATATATATATATATATATATATATATATATATATATATATATATATATATATATATATATATATATATATATATATATATATATAACATAATATAAATGTATATATATATATATATATATATAATATATATATATATATATATATATATATATATAATATATATATATATATATATATATATATATATATATATATATATATATATATATATATATATATATTATATATATATATATATATATATATATATATATATATATATGTATATATATATATATAATATATATATATATATATATATATATATATATATATATATATATATATATATATATATATATATATATATATATACTATATATATATATATATATATATATATATATGTATTATATATATGTATATATATGTTATATATTATATTATATTATATTATATTTATTATATATATGTATTTATATATATATTATATATTATTATTATATATATATATATATATATATATATATATATATAATATATATATATAATATAATATATATATATATATATACATATATATAAGTAAATACATATATATATTATATATATATATAATATATATAAATGTATACATATATATATATATATATATTATATATATATATATATATATATAATATATATATATATATATATTATATATATATATATATATATATATGTATATATATATATATATATATATAATATATATATATATATATATATATATATATATATATAATATATATATATATATATATAATATATATATATATATATATATATATATATATATATATATATATATATATATATATATATATATATATATATATATATATATTATAATATATATATATATATATATATATATATATATATATATATATATATATATATATTATATATATATATATATATATTATATATATATATATATATATATATATATATATATATATATATATATATATATAATATATATATATATATATATATATGTATATATATATATATTATTTATATATATGTATTCATATATATATATATTTAATATTATATAATATATGTATACTTATATATATGTATTTAATATATATATACTATATATATATAAATATATATATATATATATATATATATATATATATATATATATATATATATATATATATATATATATACATATATATATATATATATATATATATATATATATATATATATATATATATATATATATATATATATATATTCATCAGACAGAAATATCCTTCATACATATATGAAAGATGTATATTAATATATGGCTCTGCATTGTTCTAAGCAGCTACTCTCACTCTCCTCTGTCTTATATCACCTGGATCCGCTATTTAGATAATGGTAAACTTTTGATATGTTATTTGAAAAATAGAATAATACTCCTGACATTAGTTCATACGCCAATATATTTTCCAAATGTTTACAATCATTTCATTACCAAAAATAACAAAATGAATCGATCGAAAGTAATGGGTTTCTTGAATAGTTTGGTGCAGGAACACTGGCAAGGCGTTGGACACCAGTTGCTGAAACGACAAATAAAGGCGCATAGTCAAGGCTATGGGAATATCCCCTTAGCCTTGGGGTAGATTGAAGCTAAACTCGGCCCTTCATGGGGTGAGTGAGCAAGCGTGGGTCGGGAAAGGGGTACGCTGGGAAGTGCCCAATCTGCAAGGAGCAGAGCCAAGTGGCCCATCACACTCAAGTTGACCCCAACAAACCGTACTTCACACCATGAACGCAATTGGAGGTCATGGTTCATAAGAGGCACCCAAACGAAATAAAAGGAAAACCAGGAAATCAATACCTATACCTTTACACCCCATTCACCTTGAAGTTTTGTGGCCAAAGACATTTATTAATGTTTGGTAGCTCAAGAGGTACTATTTGAGACGATACATTATTCACACCCACAACAGCGTGTGTGTGTGTGTGTGTGTGTGTGTGTGTGTGTGTGTGTGTGTGTGTGTGTGTGTGTGTGTGTGTGTGTGTGTGTGTGTGTGTGTGTGTGTGTGTGTGTGAGAGAGAGAAGAGAGAGAGAGAGAGAGAGAGAGAGAGAGAGAGAGAGAGAGAGAGAGAGAGAGAGAGAGAGAGAGAGAGAGAGAGAGAGAGAGAGAGAGAGAGAGAGAGAGAGGGGGGGGGGGGGTTGCAGACACTAGCCCAATAGGATGGGACTGAAACATAGCCAACCACTCACTCCTTGCTTTGCCTAGCGAATCTAAATCACCCCCTTCCTCTCCCCCCCCCCTCTTTCCTAACTATGCCTACGTTGTTTGAACGTGGGCCACCTTTCAAGCAAGAATGGCGAGATCTCTCCAAGCCAGGTCTTTCGAGTTGACATCGATTTTGTTGTTGAGTGTACATGCCATTTCCCATTGTGTGTGTTGAATTTAGTAATTGTTTTTGCATACACAAGTACTGTCACCAATGAGCTAATTATGCGAATTACCTGTCTCACCTGTTTACCCTTTTCCTTGATTTTCTATATTGTCTAATATTTAATACTGCTCCTAGTAATGTCAGTAACAATATAGTAATTATAATGTTTATAACAAAATAACAGTGTCAATATTGATAGCATTAGTACCCAAAAGTGTTGTCACAATATCTACTGACTCCTTTGTGGCTAAGCACTGGCAGAGCCATCTATGTGCTAAAACATTTAACCAAGCAATGCCAAAGAGAACGCACCATTTTCCCGTTAACATTGGGTTAATTTTCAGTTATGACTCGAGAATCTGTTGGTGTTTTACTACAGAAAATTGATAAGTATAGATATTATGTTCACAACGAGATGATTGATGATGTGAATCATATTAAATACAGACAATTATTTATGGTGTTTGCGTGATGTTCAGGGTAATTTTGTGTGTGTATTTAAAGTGTTGGTGATAGGTTGGTTTTGGTAAATCAAAATAAAATATTATTTGTTTTTATGCTTTTCTATGAAAGTAATAATATAAAACTATAATAAGGAATAAAAATAAACCAGGTGAACCTATATAACTCCAATAGCTGACTAAAGTAAGTGAATCTACATAATTCTAATAGATATCTAAACTAACTACAACCAACCACCTATAAAAGGGTAAGTCAAAAAGTATAAGAAATGTTCTGATTTCATTTCACCCAATTTTAAATAATTCAGATTAAAATCTCAGTGCTCTTCTTTATCTCTTCTTTTTCATTCATCATCATTCTTTTAGAATTGGTATTTGCACAGGAACAAGAGCAAAGTTGCTCACCTAAGCACTGCGCTATAGAGGAAAAAATGCAACCACCGTCCCACAAAAACTGTACATAAAAAAATTCTGAAGTGACAGAATGGTCGAGGTCTGCTGAAGAAGGTTGTGAAAGATGAGGACCAGGAAAAGTTTCACCTGAGCAATTAATTTTGATGAGGTGGAAATTGGTTACACACAGGGTAAGTACAACACAATTAAGCACCCTGGGAGTTGATGGTATATGCACAAAGAAAAAAAATTAGGAGAGCATGTATCAGTTATACAGAACAGCAAAAGGGAAGACCTGTCTTACAATATGAAAACCAAGAAAAGATTTAGAGAGTTTAGATACAGTGAAGACAAAGCAGAATATGGCTCAATAGTTCCTGACTTTTGGTCCTTCATTTTTCTTGATAGTGGAATCACATTTGTAGTTTGATAGTGTGCTCTCAGTACTGAAAGATGACTGCAAGGGAAGACTGACTAATATGGCTTGCACTACCTTGTTGTGAATGACTGTAAGAAACATATATTTAAAATTGA